ATGAAGATATATTGACGCTAAAATGTTTTGACATAGAAATTATAATAACGATACTCACAGGTATACCACGTAATGTAGGTGTATTTCCTGTTGGAACACATGGTAGTGGTACTAAACTTTTACACTCGGTATGAGCTGTAGCTCTACAATCTCTGCATTTCTGTAGCGTATTTCCAAATCGAATTCTATTAATAAATGAAAAGACATTAAGATTTTTTTTCTTATCTATAGCGAATCTTATGAAATCAATTACAAGCTTTTTAATATGTTCATGTAGTAGTTGAATAACATTACTTTTTCCCACAATGTGTGCAGATTTCCGGCCTAAGTATAGTTTTTGCTACAAAATGATGACTTCTGGACATTTTTAAATTCATGGTATAACCACCAATATTTGGACTTGGTTTGTAAACATCCTCCGAGTCTGAAGTTGATGTAAGAATATCAGCCTTTGGTGCTGATGGCTAAAAATAAAAACAAATCGTTCTTCCTATTAACTATGGACATACATTTTAAGGGTAAAGCAAATAAATTATGATTTAGTAACGTACCGCTGTATCAATTGGCATTTTGTTTACATCTAAATGCGATAATTTTGATTTGTTGTGTTCTGTACTACTCTTACGTCGTTTGCGTGAATTATGCAGAAGAATCTGGGGATCGGTATTTTCATCACCAGGTATAGCCTCGATTGTAGATGATGCAGTAATTGTACCGTCCTTTGGCATAACTACAGTAGTAGTCGCTACTATTTTATCAGAGGAATTTAATTCTGTAGCTTTGTGCAATGTACTGCGATGAGGTTTCTTGGAATATTCGCTACTGGGACGATGCTCTTTCCATTCTCGCCTTTTCTGACTTTGCAAAATAGCACTGGTCTCAAAGTCATCATCTGATCTTGATAAACAATTAAGGTCACTCAATAACGAGCCAGTGGAATTCAATTCTGCTATTGTGTTAAGCCTAAAATAATATGAATAATATAACATTGTCATACAATCCAATGTAATTATTAGTCTTTGAATAATATAAATTGAGATGCTTATATTTACTTGTCAATCGGTACATCTTGAATATGTGTATTACTTTGACGTTGATTCATTGAAGTGTTGTTAAGAAATTGTAATTTCTCTCTGGTTTCATGATTCAGATTTTTCCCTCTATCATTAAACAGTAAATCTCTAGCTGTATCAATTTGTTCCTTCTGAAAAAGATATAAATATAAATAGTTGATTAAATAAAGTTAAAGTATTCTTAGAAATAAAAGAAGTATTGGTTACTAAATAATCTCTATGATCCTCGACATCACGACGTTTACGATTCTCTTCTTCCAAGTTTCTTCTTGCATGACGCAATTTTCTCTCAAGACCTGCAATTTCCGCATGAGCCTTATCCAAAGCTGAATGGAGTCGTTGACATTCTTGCACTGATGCCAGCCATTTCTGTCTCATCTCCTCTTGATTTAAAGCGAATCGCAGGAATTCTGTACAAAGCAGTATTGAAACAACACATTTATATCTACATCTATAATAGATTTATTTTTACAGCTTAATTATCTATACTGTTTTTAAAGTGAAATAGGTATACAGATTTAAAATTCGACTAAAACGAGAAGGAAAGTTTTAGTGCAGTCCAGTGTAGCAAACAAATTTTATAATTATTTTAGAAAAGTCGATTAATTGTTATCGCAAGAAAATAAATAACAGCTGCAATAATATCGATCATATGCGATTATTAACGTACCTTCTTCGCAAGCCCCATTTAGCAAGACGTTTGTACATCTCACCAGCTCGTCGTAAGTTGCTAAAAGTGACAACGACATCATTCTTGAACTTTTTTGTTTCTTCCGTGAACTATCACTCTGCTGACATATTATCGGCCTATAACATTCAGCAAATCCGTCGTGATCAATAGTAACTAGTTCTCGCTGATAGTACACACAAACAGTTCAACAGATTCAATGAAATGTTCGAGCGGTTGGAGTCATACAAATAACATGGTACGCGACGCCCGTCGGAGCTCGGAGTTTTGAAAATCGCCCCTTTCTAACCGTTAAGTTGATAGAGACGACTTCTACCGGAGAAAACGCAAATTATTTCCACCATGATGCTGCCAACCCTCAAGATTTTAATTTTTAATCGATCAAATAATTATAAGGTGTAATAAAAAGAAATCTATTATTTTTCCAATAGATGGCTTTAGTAATCTGTATCTCGCGTTGTATAAGTGCGATCGGGTTACGCCAAATGGCGTTAGAAAGATAAGATTTCGTACTAAAAAAACTTCTCAGACAGTTTTGTGATTGCTTGAGTCAGTATTGTTTGAGCGCGTGTCAAAGATGGACACCA